CCCATCATACAAAAATGCAAAAGTCTTAGGTTTTCCCATCATAAATACTGTGAAAGTACTACGTTGGCAAGCAATTTATATGGGCATTAAGTACATATGATCAGACAAAAATACTAACATCTAAACCAGTGTTTCTCAACCATTTTTTTAGTCAAGACACCCTTTAAAATTATGGACAATGTCAAGGCACCCTCTAAAATTATGGACAGTCTTGAGGCACCCCATTCTAAAATTTAAAAGACTATTCTAACAGTTTTAAATAATGCAGCAACATCCATACACGTAGGACACCCAATGTAATATGTGACTTATTCTTCCAAAGCAAATACAGTTTTGCACACTGGTACTGACTAGTATTCCAATATTTCTCTTCTCCCTCAGTTTTTCTCAAACAAGGAAGGGTCAAACAAGGATGCTGCGCAGGCAAACAACATCCTCCTTATCAACTGATGACGTCATTGGTTGTCTGGATGCTGACGGCTAGATGGTTGTAATGGTGCACAATGAAAACTTGTGGCTTTGCGTAACTAAAAAACAGGCTTGTGCCACCCGCTGGTTTGGGGCAATCTTTAGAAATTTTGCCAAGGCATATATTTTTTGTGTGTGGTATATTCCTCCAAGCTTCTTGCAGAACTTGTCATAAATATTCTTTTGGATCTGGCAACTTTTTCTACCTTTCCAAACAATCCCACACAGATTCAGATATGTTGAGGTGGCCAATCTAACACAGCAACTGCTCTATCTGCAGACTTCCACTATTCAGAGGCCTTAACCACTTGCCTACTGGGCACTTTCCTGCCCAGGCCAATTTTCAGCTTTCAGCGCTGTCACACTTTGAATGACAATTTTGCAGTCATGCAACGTACCCATATGACATTTTTATAATTTTTTTTCACACAAATAGAGCTTTCTTTTGGTGGTATTTTATTTTTTGAGCTATAAACAAAAAAAAAAGCAAAAAACAAAAAAAAAAAACAAAAAACTTTTTCTTTGTTTCTATCATACAATTTTGCAAACATGTAAGTTTTCTCCATCACTTGTGTGCGTTGATGAGGCTGCACTGACGGGCAGCACTAATGGGCACAGATAGGCAGCACTGATGAGGTGGCACGGATAGGCAGCACTGATGGGCATTGATAGGAGGCACCTAAGGGCGGCATTGATAGGCGGCACTGATAGGCAGCACTGATCATCATTGTCCTGTTGATCAGTGCCGATCCCTTCGCTGACAATTGCCGGTTCTTGGCAGCCAATAACCGGCAACTGTATTTACCCAGTGATCTGCTGTGTCATTAGACACAGCTGATCATGTGATACAAGCCCGCTGTGATTGGCCGATAAACATATCACGTGAACAGCTGTGTCCATAGGACACAGCGATCACCGGTAGCGCCAGGTGTGCGCCACTGGGGGCATGTTCTGGAATGACGTCCGTGGACGTAGTCCCAGAACTAGACAACCGTGCTGTAGCGCAGTTGGGAACTGGTTAAATCCCAACTCCAGGATAAAATGTTTTTTATTGACCCTGGCCTCCATTTCCTCTTCTCTGCAAACTCTAAATTAAATTTGTTTGTAATGACCCCAAAATACCTTTAAACTGATTGTAAATTTGCAGTCATGTGACCAACAAAGCACCTTCCAAAGTCCTTATGACTTTAGGCTGTGGGAAAAGGGGGGCACTGACCATTTGAAAGAAAGCAGCGACTTTCGCTGACACATTAGGACTATACAGTGGATATAAAAAGTCTACACACCCCTGTTAAAATGTCAAAAAAAGGCGACAAAGATAAATAATTTCAGAATTTTTTCCACCTCTAATGTGAACTATAAACTGTACAACTCAGTTGAACAACAAACTGAAATCTTTTAGGTGGAGGAAAATAAAAATGAAAAACTAAAATAATATGGCTGCATAAGTGTGCACACCCTTAAACTAATACTTTGTTGAAGCACCTTCTGATTTTATTACAGCACTCAGTCTTTTTGGGTATGAGTCTATCATCATGGTACATCTTGACTTCGCAATATTTGCCCACTCTTCCTTGCAAAAACATTCCTACTCTCTCAGATTGTGAGGGCATCTCCTGTGCACAGCCCTCTTTATATCACTCCACAGATTTTCGATTGGATTCAGGTCTGGGCTCTGGCTGGGCCATTCCAAAACTTGAAACTTCTTCTGGTGAAGCCATTCCTTTGTTGATTTGGATGTATGCTTTGGCTTGTTGTCATGCTGAAAGATGATGTTCCTCTTCATGTTCAGCTTTCTAGCAGAAGCCTGAAGGTTTAGTGCCAATATTGATGGGGATTTGGAACTGTTCATAACTCCCTCCTACTTTGACTAAGGCTCCAGTTCCAGCTGAAGACAAACAGCCCCAAAGCCTGATGCTGCCACCACCATGCTTCACTGTGGGTATGGTGTTCTTTTGGTGATGTGCAGTGTTTTTGCGCCAAACATCTCTCTTTTGGAATTATGGCCAAAAAGTTCAACCTTGGTTTTATAAGCCCATAACACATTTTCCCACATGCTTTTGGGAGACTTCAGACATGTTTTTGTAAAATTTAGCTGGGCTTGGATGTTTTTCTTCATAAGAAAAGGCTTCCGTCTTGCCACTCTATCCCATAGCCCAGACATTGGAAGAATACAGGAGATTGTTGTCACATAAAGCGCTGAGCAAACTGTTGGTGCTATATAAATCCTGTATAATAATGTACCACACAGCCAGTACTTGCCAGATATTCCTGCAGCTCCTTTAATGTTGCTGTAGGCCTCTTGGCAGCCTCCCAGACCAGTTTTCCTCTCGTCTTTTCATAAATTTTGGAGGGACGTCCAGTTCTTGGTAATGTCACTGTTGCACCATATTTTCTCCACTTGATGACTGTCTTCACTGTGTTCCATGGTATATCTAATGTACCCTTCTGCTGCCTGATACCTTATAACAATGAGATCCTTTTGATGCTTTGGAAGCTCTCTTTGAATCATGGCTTTTCTGTAGGATGCAACTAAGAAAATGTCAGGAAAGACCTACTAGAACAGCTGAACTTTATTTGGGTTAATCAGAGGCATTTTAAATGACAGCAGGTGTGTACTGACTCCTAATTAACATGATTTTGAATGTGATTGCCTAATTCTGAACACAGCTACATCCCCAGTTATAAGAGGGTATGCGCACTTATGCAACCCCATTATTTTACTTTATGTTTACTCCCCCCCCCCCCCCCCCCCCCCCCAAAAAAAAAAAAATTTTTTCAATTGAGTTGTACAGTTTATAGGTCCCATTAAAAAAGGTGGAAAAAGTTCTGAAATTATTTATCTGTCTCATTTTTTTACATCACAGAAACCTGTTATTTTAACAGGGGTGTGTAGACTTTTTATATCTACTGTATGTCTGAAAACATTCCTCGCTGGTGGGTGCATGATAAGGTACTCTAAGTGGGCATTACAAGGCCTGTTTAACACCCCTAGCTTCACTCACACACAGAACAGCAAGATCATCATGTATTTGTTGTGGATATTACTGGGCAGGTTATGGGGGCCTGAACTTTGCAGCTGGTAATGCCCACAACCAGCTAGTGGAGGGGGCATCATGATGACGCCCCCTACGAGGTGCGATTCCTAACAGCCTTGGGTGGAAAGGAATAGACTGAGGGACAGGAAAGGAAATTAGAAGGAAGAGACATAATCAATGCACAGTTCTAAGCCTCAAAGTGTGAAGGTGTTAAGGGGATTGCTTTATTTACAGCTTTACTGGCTTCTGAGACCCTACTTTAATAAAATCACCGGTCAATATTCTCCTCTCACTGTGACCGTATTGGAGGATTTCTAACTGATGCTAATTAAGCAGACACATATTTATAAAGTGTCATATGACTGAATTGCTAGAACTCCTGGCCTTTCCCTTACAGTCCATTAGCCAGTTTAATATAGTATAGCATTATACAAGGTATGCAGTCATAGGAAACATAACCTCTGCAGGATTAGAAGATTCCTAGTAGATGAATTCTGCAACACAAATATCAAATTTGTGATTACTTTGCAATTTGCTAGAAGGTAATACAAAATGTATTTCTTGCTTTGCTAACCTTAAATAACAGCATGCTTTCTAGGGGGTAGCATATATTCTAGATAGGGCAAAAATTCCAGAATGTGATCCTTATGCATGTCTCTGAGTGATAAATATTTTCAAACTAGATAAACGAGTATCTCAAGCTAGTGAACTTTTAAAACAGCATTATTTGTGCATACATTAGTTAGGTGAAGCTTTTCTTCTAGCTTCACGTTGGTATTTTTGCTTTAGCTTTAATGGCAGCTTCAGAGTAGTCACAATACTTTGTTCTGCATGTGTGGACACTTAAATACCACAACACCAAGGGCATATTTAAAAAGCTGTGAATCTGACATTACCAATTATTCACTGCAGGTGAATCTTCCAAGTGCATGTATTTAACCACTTCAATACCACACAATTTCCCCCTCTTACTGCCCAGAACAAATTTTCAGATTTCAGCGCTGTCACACTCTGAATGACAACTGTACAGGCCTGCAACACTGTACTCAAATTACATTTTTATCATTTTTTTCTTTAGACAGATAGGGCTTTCTTTTGGTGGTATTTAGTTACCCCTGGGTTTATTTTTTGCTAAACAAATGTAAAAGACTGAAAATTTAGAAAGAAAAAACATTTTTCTTCATTATAAAATTTAGCAAATAAGTAATTTTTCTTCTTCACTGATGGGCATTGATAACCTGCACTGATAGGGCTGCAATGATAATCAGGGACCTGTGCCCTGTGAGACTGGTCAGTTATCAGCTCTCCTTTCCTCACACAGAGACAGCATGTTAGGAAAGGAAATGCCGATAACCAGCAAGCCTGTTTACATGTGACCAGCTGTGAGTGAAGACTTTTTACTAAAGAAACAGTACATTCTTAAGAAAGTCCAATATACTCCAAGTAATAGGAATAACTCCAACCTCCAAAGATGAAATGGTAATCTGACCATGATTAATACTTACCATTTTTCTCAGAGCTATACATGGGGCTCGGAGTGGCCAGCCTCCCCGGGCCTGGAGATGCACTCACAGAAGGAGTTTTGTTCTGTTCGCTGCTTCGATCTGTTTGTGTGCAGCAGTCTCGGCTACCAGTCTTTGAGTGTCCAGAGAGTTGGGGTGTTGATGGAAGTACAGGTGATGGAGTGGATGAGATAGACTCTGAACGATATTCTGTTGCTAGGAGGACCCCTGTAAATGAAACCCAAATAAGTTTGTAAGTTATTGTTCCCATTTCTCTACAAGAAATCAAAAGGCAATTAGACGTCAAAGTCTGTTAGTCTAGGTTCACACCTAAGCATTTCCGCTGCGTTTTGCAGAAACACACAGCAGTCCATTTAACATGATTTGCTATGGGACAGGTTCATATCTCCATGTTTCCCCCTGTTGCAGTTTTTGGAAAGGGTCAGGGACTTTTTTAAATGCAAAACGTTGCGTTTTTGGTTCTATAGACTTCAATGGATGCTGCAGAAAAGCATGTAGAGCGTTTTTGATGCTTTTCGCGTTTTTTTTTTCTGCCCAGCAACAAAATAGAAAAAAATGCAAAACACATAAAAACGCATGCAAAAAAAATGCTAAATGCATCGCAAAAAGCATTGCAGCAACGGATCAAAACACAAACTGCATAGGTGTGAACATAGCATTAAGTAAATATAAATGCATCAAAATGGTCAGATTCTGGAAAGTAATTTTAATGTAGCAGAGCTGTTTATTATACAAAAGTCTCCACATAGCCAGTCTCTAGAAAGGCTGCATGACTATGACACCTGAGCCTAAATAGTATTTCCTAAAGCGTCAGAAGTGTGCCATTGGTGGCACTTATCCTCACTATAGATGACACACAACAACGTTTCTGACCTATATTCAGTGCAGACTTGTAAAAGAGTACAGAAGTGGTTACCAATGACAAGATCTGAAGAAAATTGGTCCAAGATTGGACACATATGTGGGTTTTAGTACCTATTCCTGAAGAGGAATGCCTTTAATACACATCGGTTGCCTTGTAATAAAGATATGACCACCTTTGTCTGGGAACGAACACCTGACAGCAAGCATAAATCAGTAACAGAAGGGAGACCAAATGATATCAAGTCTTACCTAAGCTGCCTTTCCAGCTCTTGTCTTCCCTCTTCTCTTCAAGAATTGGTGTACTACTAAGAGCAGATGAGTGGGAGAGAAGACCCGAACTGGCATTAGAAATAGACATAAGTGACTTGGAAGGACGCATGGAAGATGGCTGATCCAACTTGCTGGCATCTTTTCGAGAACGTTGCTGAAGCACTTTAATCATGGCATCCTTTTCAATGATCTGAGCATGAAGAGTTTTTATCCTAAGAAATATAAAAGAAAAACATGCATAATAAATCATCATTACTAAAACAAATTATTGTGCTTTCTGTTCTGCTGAATACATCATGGTATGGTTATGATTTATTAGGTGGTATTTACATACAAGGATTGTGGTTGTGCTGCACTTTTTTGGCGTATTCAACACATTACGGTCAATTTTCCACTTACCCTAGCAATTATCTCCATGCATCATCAAACTTGTTAAAGAAACATTGTACCATCCTGATAAAAACCAAAACAGTATTAAGCCCAAAATCAAAAAAGTAATAAATCTGTAGCTCACCAGTCCTTAGATGTGGTAACTGCATTAGTTTTTATTTAAGCTTTTTCCCCTGGTGATCTGGCTAATAACACACCTCCTGTATTAGAGTGCCCCCACTCTGGATGAAGGAGCACAGGGGCACCTTTGGACAGCATCATTGAGCTCACACTGCAGTTACACAAACTGTAACTGTTTTCTTTCTTTTGGGATAAAGGGTTTACATGAATAAATAAAAGCTGGTTATTGTAAGCACCCCTGTCAGTGGTAAATGCTTTGTTTTAACACTGTAACTGATATTTGCAGGAGAGCCTGTTCTGTTGAAAAACAGACTTAGTGTCTGGATTACCAAGTGAAAATAAAAGGAAGGAATGTCTAAAAAGAAATCTAATGCAGACATATTAACGAAATGGTAGGCTGCAGCATAATAAATGTTTGCTTTTTGGGTTTAATACTGTTTTAACTGTTGCTGCTTCTCATACTAAAGGAAGAAGATGATGGGCGTTAAATGTTAGATACCAAAGAAATGTGTTAGGAATACCCAGCATTTACAGCATCTCAGATGGAGCATTAAAAAAATCCAACACCACATTTGGTATGGCCAGATAATGGTACACAATAGGGTATCCTGGCATTTCAACCAAAGCCACAATAAAAAAGGAAAAGCCCTGGACAAACGCTAAATTGTCAAGTTTGACAAGAATCTATGTTTAACATTCACAATAATATAAAGCTCAGAATTTTCCCACATATATACTATCAGCTAGTATTTTCTCTAAAATCTCAGTCAATGGAGTTTTAGACATTCCACAAACCATGAGACAAAGTCACAAGGGGTTGCAGAGGACGCACTGTACAAGTCAAAAAGATTTAAGCATAAGACTGCTTTCCGCCTGCCAATTTCTACCCATTTTACAGTTCACGATGTAATACACAGCATGTTATTGTGTTAAAAGGAAGGCATTGCAAATGGTTTCATTTTTAGTTTTACAATTATGCAACACTTTGCCACTAAAAGATGTAGCAATGTTAACCCTACACAAAATTTGACCTAAGTCTAGTTAAACATTTGCTGCTTACTAGAAACCTGTCCAGTTAAAACTTACCTCCCTTCCATGTCTACACATCGTCTATTGGCCAGAAGTATCTCTTCTTCTTCCTTCTGGATTCTGGCCTCAAGTGTGGTGTCAAAGCTTGCACTTGGAGAATGGCTTATAGAGGAGGTGTCCCTAAAATAAGGTAAATTGCTGATTAGGAAAACATCATGAATCTAATAGGAGGTAGACCAGCAAACCCTCAAAATCTGGAGCAACACAAGAACATAATCATGCAGGAGTGCAAGTGAACATGTTTTGCCCACAAACAAATTTAAACCACCCGACAACTACTCTTTGCTAGTGTATACAACATGTTATACAAAATATAGCAATCTGTTGATCATGAAAGCCATTTTGAACCAGCAAGCCCAGTCATGATGCAGTTTCTTTCAGTGTAGTGAGATGGTAAAAGACAAGTAAGACAAGATCTGCATTAGGCTGTCTGCTATCGCCAACAATGTTGCAATGCACGGTTATTTATATACCATAAGGTTAAAAAAATATTTTTATAAATCACATCTCTAAAAATCGCCAACCCCTGGTACAACTGGAGGAATAGATCCACATGGAATACAAGTAGTTAAGCCCTGTGCCAACAAACCAGCCCAATATCCAGATATGCAGTTTTACTACTTTCAGCTCTCTAAACCCTCATGTCCCTGAAATAACTAGTAAATTCCAACACACAGGCCTGAGAAGAGCACACCAGGAGTAGATAAGATAAGGAGAGAATGTGCAGCACACTGCAGAGCCATCATAATGTTACTGGCCAGTTTCTCACTACATCAGCAGTCTAGGAACTTGGAGCTGCCAGCTAAATTGTGTGCATTCTGCTAACTATGGCTAAGCAGTGGGCCTAAGCCAATTCATCCATGCTTAAAAAAATTGATTTTTACAGATTCAAATTGTAGTGAGATCTTAAGGGCTCCCAGTGGCCTCAAATTATAAATATAAAATTCAAACACTGTGCAGATCACCACTGCAGAGCACATCATTAGATAGGATTCTGTGTGAATGGTGCACACGGAAGAAACTGCAGTGCACATTACAGCCTACACTGAGCACAGTATGGATGGTCATTCTGAATACCTTTGATGAGCATAACTCTATGAGACCGCTCAAATAAATATCTGCAGTGACATAAAAGGAAAATGGATAAAATACAAGAGAAACGGCTCTATACTAAAGTATAGCATTAAGATTGTTTTTTTAAATTTTTGTTCTGAGAATAGCAAATATTAACGAGATGAAAGTGTACTAAAACTGCATGGTGTAAAATCTGGTGCAGCTCTGCACAGAAACCAATCAGCTTCCAGGTTTTATTGCCAAAGCTTAATTAAACAAGCTGAAGCTAGAAGCGGATTGGATACCATGAACAGCAGCGCCAGTTTTAGTAAATTTCCCCTTATGTCTATGTAATAAAATTAATGAAGTGGACTGATCACAAGAGATCGCAATTCAAGTCCATTGGGGAATGTTAAAATAACTAAACCCCAATATTATTAAATAAAAATAATATATCAAATTCATCAATTCAATTCATCAAATACATCAAATTCAAACTGCTAAATCTGACCTACAAAGCCATTCACAATGCCGCCCCAAACTACATAACTGACCTGATACCCAAATACTACCCTACCCGTGCTCTCCGCTCCTCACAGGACCTCCTACTCGCTCCCTGGTCTCCTCCTCCCACGCCCGATTGCAGGACTTCTTCAGGACTTCCCCCATCCTCTGGAACTCCCTACCGCAATCAGACTGTCGCCTACCCTCCTCACCTTCAGGCGCACCCTGAAAACCCTCCTCTTCAGGGAAGGCTACCCCAACCTCACCTAACACCCAACCTCACCTAACAACTAACCTCCTCCACTCCTCCCGCCTCTCTATCCCCCACAGCCATCTCCTCCTGTGCCACCTTCCCCTCCCTCCTAGATTGTAAGCTCGAAAGAGCAGGGCCCTCAAACCCCTCGTGTATTGTATTCTTACTGTCTTGTCTCATGTTCTGTCCCCATTGCTACTGTACAGCGCTGAGCATACCCTTTGGTGCTATATAAATACTGTATAATATTATTATTATTAATTAATAATAATAATAATAATAATAATAATACAAATATGCCTTTTGCTTGCCATAAACAAAAAACTGCTTCTAAGCTCCCTCATGTGACCTAAAGTATGGGCAGAGATCATGTAACCTCTGATGATAACAAGCTCTGTGGATATTTCACAGGATTAGAGACTTCAGGAAGTGTTTATAGTTAGACTGACTGTCAGACTTGCAGTGAGGAATGGATTAACAAGGCACAATCACTAGGCAGCCAAAACAAGCACAAGACAGAGCCTGAGTATGTAATTAGCAAACATGGCTGCCCATATGTACATATATTACAACTAGAAACAAGGTTTTCAAACGTGAGCATACACCGATAAGTTTTACATTAAGCTGATCTCCTTTTCACACATTAAATGGACCACAGTTCATGAATATTAAAAAGAACATAGCAAAGCACTGAAAGCACATGGAATGTGAGATGTTCACCTTTGAGCTGCCACAGTGGCAGCAGCATCCAAAGCAAACTGCCTCATGACACTCTCTTCCAAGTACTTTTGTTCCCATTTGGTCATGTCTGCCTCCAGGGCCAGGACCCGCTCCTCTTTCTCTCGGAGTAGCTCCATGAGTGCTGCAGCATTGTACTCTGAAATATTGGTAGACTGAGAGTTCCCCTGGCGCTGTAACAATAGTCAAAAGAAACAATTAAAAATTCACTCAAAAAATGTTATGTTTATTAAGATTAAAATGTTGGTTGTTACAATTGAAGGTTTTGGCTTGTTAATAAAGATCTAAAAGAAGTACAATGAATTCACCAGCTCTGCCTCAGCCCAAGTGTAAAAACGGCTTTAGCTCTGCATTGTGTAAATGCAGTTTTTTTTTTTTTTTTTTTAAAGTAAAACAGCAAACATGGTATACTTACTTGCTTTGTGCAATGGTTTTGCACAGAGCAGCCCTGACCCTCCTCTTCGGGGGTCCCCCGCTGGCGCTCCAGGCTCCTCCTCTTCAGTGAGTGCCCCCATGGAAATCTGCTTTCCATGGGGGCACCTGTGTGGGCTCGCTCCCAAGCAACCCTGTCTGTGTTGATTTACACTTCAGTCACACCAGGTGCAACTTGCCTTGCGATTTGCCATGCCATGTGAGTTTCAAATTGACAAGATGACAAGTTGCACCCTGTTGTTCACAATTAAAGTGGTCATATCAGTGTAATTCTGACTTCGTCAAAACCGCACTGATTTCTAAAGTAGTGCATGCATTACTTCAGGTGCGACTTGCATAGACATTTGTGTCTTGCAAGTGGCACCGACAGCCGACTCTGAAATTGTGCGACACTTCAGTGAAGTCACACAATTTCAAAGTCGAATCTGTGTGACCAATGACTAACACAATCTGCCCAGTGAGGAGGGAGACAACAGCAAGAGCCGCTGCTCTCATGCACATTGCTAGACTGAGCTCAGTTAAGAAAAAGGGAGGGGCGCTGGGGGAATCCTGCCGCATAGGTGTTTTTTTACCTTCATGCATTTCGCACTGTCACTTTAAAAAAAAAAAAAAAAATTACATGCATGCATCCCTTGTGATAAAAATAATTAGTGACAGGTCCTCTTTATGGAGAGATACGGGGTCAATAGGACCCCACATCTCTCCTCTGCAATGTAAAGCATTATATTGAAAAAAAGCATTGATCTAGTGCTTTAAGAAAAAAAAAAATGTCCGGAACCGGAAGTGACATCGCTCCGATCCTCTAAGGGCATAGAGATGAGTGGAGGCCATCTTTCCTTCACTCATCTCTTTGCCCAGCGCTGGGATCATTCGATGGTTTCTCAGGTAAGGCTGAGAACTACCGAACGTTGGCGGGCGGCAGCAGTGACCTGTATTGGTGCTTTTTTTTCATATCGGCCGAAAGGGGTGTTTTCAGCCGAAACGTTTAGGCCACCAAAATTTCGGTGCATCCCTATTTAGAACCACTTTAAAGGAAGTACCTAATTTTCCTTCCTTATCAGAAAGCAGCCATCAGGATACAACTGAATGTACTGTCGGCCTAAAGAAGGGGGGAAGGAGGGATTAGGGCATTTGAACAAAGATAAACGTATACATTAAAGTCATCCATAGATCTACCACTGATTTTATCGGGCAGCAATTCTGACACATGCACTGGTAATACTATAGACCCAGAAATGCAATGGGGGAGATTTACTAAAACTAATGCACAGAGATTCTGGTGCAATTGTGCATAGTAAGCGGCTTCTAACTTCAGCTTGTTCAATTAAGCTTTGACAATAAAACCTGATCGGTTTCTATACAGAGCTGCACCAGATTTTGCAAGTTCCAGTTTTAGAATCTTTTCCATATTAGAAGGAGAAAAATATTGCTGCTGCAATACAGTGTGCAAAATAAGCAAACACCACATTGCTTGCCAAACGTCCAGCTGATTGCAACTCATCTAAGGGCTCCTGCACACATGCAGCTGAGCCCATCTAACATTAAAGCGGAGCTCCACCCAAAAGGGGAAGTTCCGCTTTAAGGACTGCTCCCCATTACAGATTGGCACCTTTGGGGGGCGGAAGGGGCACAAATTTGACAGGTACCCGCTCCCACTTAGATGATCAGAAATGGAAGGTGTCCTCCCTCCCTCCCTGTAGTCTTTTGGGACACGTGACAAACCCCAGGAGACTACAGGACCATTCAGGAAGCGCAGCGCTACTCACGCATGCGCAGTGGGTACCCGACTGTGAAGCCGCAAGCTATCACAGCCGGGTGCCTACACTGAAGATGCTGGCTTCCTGGGATACAGGATGGCCGGTGAAACAGGCTGCGGGGGACACACCATGGGACAGAGGGACAGGTAAGTGGCTGTTTTTTTAGCTGCTGACTTTCATTTTTTGATGGGGTGAGTGGAACTCTGCTTTAAGTGCCTGTGTCTTTCTCCTTTCTAGGAAGCCCAGATGCAGTGTAGTACACATAAAGGACTGTGTGCTGCTGTACCAGCAGTATAAACCAGTGGTAAAAAATCTTGTATTTTTTCCATATGCTATACTGTGTTTGCGCACAGCGCAGAGCCATTTAGGTCTATGGAAGGTGGTGCACAGCACCTGAGCTTCCTGGGCAGGGGAAAGATGCCAGTGTTCAGCCACCCATGTTCCAGAGCTCGAATAAGCATATAAAAAACCGTAAAAACACCAAGACCATAACACAGATACTGCTTTTGTATATTTGTCTTAATGCTTAGAAAAGCATTTTCAATAAATGTATCACAATATACAGTTCACTAGCTTGCAGTAAGAGGTTAAGAGCATAAAGTATTAGAGAGCAGAACAATGAAGCATTGATACAGAGAAGAGTCTCAGTTCGTTAAAATTCCTCTCCACATGCGAGCAAGGCACAATATACAGTGTATACCAATGGCAAGTCCAGACCCTGAAGCGGCAGCTCAAGGGGAACTTGATAAAGTTTTCCTTTTGGATACAGCTCACAAATAAGGCAATTGTTTTGCTGCCTCTCCGCAGGAGTTGCTGACCACAGTTCACCTCTTGTAGTCTTTTTTTTTGTTTTTTTTTTGTTTTCCGAACTCTTGGAAGGCTGGGGGTTTGTAATGACCTGACTGTGCAAATACTCTCTGAGCAATGTGCACACACAGCACTTTGCTTGGGCCAAAGAAAGGGCTAAATTTGTAGTGGCTATTTCTGGGGCGTCTGCCGGGCGGCCAATGTATATTTAATGCATGTGTGTGCTTATATTATGGTAATAGGGTCATACAAAGGGGGCCTTTTATGAACACAGTAGCAAAAGGACACTGCATAAAAAGAGTCCTCTGAGCAAAATGTCTTCTCATTTAAAGTTATATGGCATGTTTCGTCTGGCATGGGAAAACTGCATTATAGGCAAAGACGCATTTAACAAGCTGCACTAAGCCTCATTCCTGATGGCATCACACCCTATTTAGCTGGAGGGCTAAACTAGTTCAGTAGCCTACATTTATAAATCCCCACTAATGAAAATGTGAGGTCTTCAAAGCTTTACCTCCAGACTTCATAAATGCCATTCAGAATATCCGTATGCTTATATAAATGAATGCATGGTATTTAATTTTTTAAATCTATAATTGTTTTAAACTCTTGAACAGCCTTTTTCAACAATTTTATCATGAAGGAAACCTTAAAATAATTTACAGGTCTCAGGAAACCCCAATTCCTGTGATATTAGCATAATCAGTAAGTTGGCGTTTATAGAACAATGATGTGACCCCCAGGGCAGATCATTTTTTTTTTTTGTTTAACACAACCTTATCCATATGTCAACATTTCTTTCAAGAATAATCATGAAATGCAACAAATAATAACCAGAAAATAAATGCATACAGTAAAGGTGTTATGTAGACAAAAAAAAAAAAAAAAAAAAGTAGTACTGCTCTAATGCTCCTAGCACTGATATCAGCCAACATGACATGTAATGAGTTGGTGCAGATCGTATAAAACAGCTTGTAGGGTTACAATATGCTGCGGAAACTGGCAACTGATCACACACAGAACGCTGTACCTCCAGTATAAACGCAGCACTATTCCACTGTGAATCGAAACAAACACTTTCAGAAAAATGGCAACCGGTTGAACACAGAACGCCGACTCACTGTGACCAAAACTAAACAAATAATGAAAGATGGCTTCAGCTCTGCTCTCCATCCGTAGGAGAGGTCCCTCAGACACATTTCAAGGACTCAATCATTGCCTCAACGATCTTCAGTATAAGCACAGCACTATTCCACTGTAATTTAGTGGGAATGAACTTCTTTACATGAGTGGTCAGTACAAAAGTATCCTTATACACTGAAAATAAAAAAGGGAAAAAAATTTCCCTTAAGAACAGTGGTAAGAGGAATAGGTGTCCCTTACATTGGTGGTCAGTGGAAAAAATGCTAGTTACATTGGTGGTTAGTGTTGTGCCTCTAGTTGTGTGCTCACTTCTCAAGGAAACATTGTTAACCTCTGGAGCAACTCTGAGCATTTTACACCCCCTCGACCATATCCAGCTCATTGGCTGTCCCTGATCAGATACCCCCACTATCAGCATGCCTTTTTGAGCCTATCAGCTTTCTCACGGATGCTGACAGCTGTCCTTGTTGAGACCTGCAAGCACTGGACCTGTGGTTGTGTAACCTGGACTGACAGGTTCAGGGAGATAACTGACAGAGCTGCAAGCACTGGAAGGAGAGAGCCTGAGAAGCGATCGGTACAGCAGGAGGCTCGGTTCTGGTGAGTGACCATAGGAACAACTTCTAGGTACATGTATTGCCTAGGACAGTGATGGCGAACCTATGGCACGCGTGCCAGAGCTGGCACGCAGAGCCATCTCAGTGGGCACGCCAGGAAGAAGAGCATGATGAGCGCGCATGGACCGGCCATCCAGATCTCGTCCACACTGGACCCCCATCAAACTACATTTCCCACATGTCTCTGGGGCCAGGGTGGGCGTGGACGAGAGGAAACGGCTCCAATGCGGCTCTGGCACCAGGGGTGATGTACCCGGGGATTGGCGCGGAAGAGAGGAAGAGGCTCCCACACTGCTCCCACACTGCTCCGGGGCCAGGGGCAACGTGTTCAGAGTGGATGGGAATGAGCTGCTGGGTTGGAAGCCACACCGACGCTGCCAGAGGTGAGATTAACTGCTTGCAGTGTCGCCTGTCAGTGCCCAGCAGTGTCCTGTCAGTGCCCAGCAGTGTCGCCCATCAGTGCTGCCCATCAGTGCCATCCATCCATCAATGATGCCCAGCAGTGTCGCCTGTCAGTGCCCAGCAGTGCCCAGCAGTGCCAGCCCGCCTGTCAGTGCTGCCCAGCAGTGCCACCCAGCTGTCAGTGCTGCCCAGCAGTGCCAGTGCCTGTCAGTGCTGCCCCAGTGCCACCTGTCAGTGCTGCCCAGCAGTGCCACCTGTGCAGTGCTGCCTGCCCAGCAGTGCCACCTGTCAGTGCTGCCCAGCAGTGCTGCACCTGTCAGCAGTGCTGCCCCCAGCAGTGCCACCTGTCAGTGCTGCCCCAGCAGCAGTGCCACCTGTCAGTGCCCAGCAGTGTCCCCAGCCCAGCAGTGTCACCCATCAGTGCAGCAGTGCCCCATCAGTGCCCAGTGTCGCCTGTCAGCCTGCCCAGCAGTCAGTGCCCAGCAGTGTCGCCTGTCAGCGCTGCCCAGCAGTGCCACCTGTCAGCGCTGCCCAGCAGTGCCACCTGTCAGCGCTGCCCAGCAGTGCCACCTGTGCCACCTGTCAGCGCTGCCCAGCAGTGCCACCTGTCAGCGCTGCCCAGCAGTGCCACCTGTCAGCAGTGTCAGCGCTGCCACCTGTCAGTGCTGCCCATGTCATCAGTGCCCATCAGTGCGACCCATCAATGATGCCCAGCAGTGCCACCGATCAGTGCCGTCTGTCAGTGCGTCCAGGTAGGCAAGTGGTTAATTGCAGTGTTGGCACTTTGAAATAAAAAAGTTGGTTTGTGTTGCAGTTTTGGGCACTCGGGCTCAAAAAGGTTCGCCATCACTGGCCTAGGAGATGTCCCAATGCTCTCCCACCACTCAGCCAAGTTCTTCCTATTAACTACAATGTAAACAAATCTCCTTCGCTAGTTCTCCCCACAGCTAGCCAGTTAACATCACTTCTGTGGAGTTGATTTACTAAAGACAGGCTGTACACTTTTGCAGTTGCACCAATTTTCCCTAGAGTTTAAAGAATACTCAATCAGATGCAAGGAAAAAAAAAAAAAAAAAAGCAAAACAACAAAAATTGCTTTTGCTTGAAACTGATTGGATGAGGAAATCAGCAGAGTTTCACCACATACATGAAGCGCTGGGGAAACTGAGTGCATCTGCAATTGTGAATTGCACAGTCTATTTTCTTTCAGTAAATTAGTCCCAGTGAATATCGATCAAAATATTATCTTCAGCACCAGCAGCTTTAGATATAATTCTTCCTGATAGCGCTAGAACCGAGTTTGCGTGAAACAAACCCCAGAAGCTGTGCATGGGATCTTCAGAAATCCCTGCTGTACAGATCTTAGGCTCTCTCCTTACAGTGCTTGCAAGCACTGCCCATTATCTATCTGAGCCTGTCAGTTACACATCAGCACTCAGAACAGCAGATCAGTTAATTAATCCCTGTGCCTGTCAGCTCCCTCAATGCTTTTTCCAGCCTGACCTAAACCAACATTGTGGGCAGCAGAAAACATTTCTTCACTATTGTTTCTAATAATTGTGAGCATGCACACTATTTCATGAGCAGTTGGGAGCTATTATTGCTAGCGCCAGGTGTTTGCTTCCTATATGTTCACATACCTATGGACCTTTCTAGCTGACAGAATTAAGTTTAGCCTATAGGTTCAGCCCCCCACAAACAGTCCCAGTTTCACATGTGGCCCTTTGGAAAAATGAACTGTCTACCCCTGTTGTGGAGGAACACTAGTTGAGAAAGGCTACTCTAGAAGAGAATTAATGAGCATCTAATTTTGCTTAAAGCAAATCTATAACCAAAACCTTTTTTCCCCCATTCTGAATAGAGTAGCAGAATGTTAAAACTGCTGTCATGTTTTGCCATCTGTGTCTCATTAGGGAGATTTCCCTTTACTTCCTGTCCTGTAGATTCAGCAGGAAGTGAGAGGATAACTTTCCAATATGAAGGAAATCCCCTCCTAGACAGCTGTCACAGAGACAGGTGTCCCTATTGAATGATTTCCCCTTTTCCCCTGTCTTTTTTCTGCAACTCAAAATTTTGTATTTACTCCTCCTAGATTGTAAGCTCCAAGGAGCAGGGCCCTCTAATCCCTCTTGTATTGAACTGTATTGTACTGAACTGTATTGTTACTGTACTGTCTACCTTCATATTGTAAAGCGCTGAGCAAACTGTCGGCGCTATACAAGTCCTGTATAATAATAATAATTTTGTTCCAGGTGGCATTTGTGATCATGAATTTCAGATCGTAAATCTCCATATGGAGACACAGACAGCAATAAAAACAGTGGATCTAAGCCCCCACCACCCTTTCCAAATATGCCCTTAGTTTTACTAATGTATTTTACTAAAATCACCTGCACTAAAATATTATGAAATTCAGAAAAAAACTCTTGTAGGGCTTCTAGGTGGAACTGTAGTTTCTTACCACAGGATAGACCATGTAGACTCTCTAGGGGGTGAGGTTTAAGGCTAGGTTCACACTGATGCAGTGCGAATAGGATGCAATTTCACAGTGCGATTTCTGTTGTGACAGCTGCAATGTAAATGCAAATTACTGTAATTTCTGAGGGGATATGGTATAGCTGGAGAAAAAAGTTGCACTAAACTCGCACAGGACCCTTTTTATAATTGGAGCGGAATTTCACCACATTGATGAGAATGGCTTTCATTGCAAACAATGTTTTTTCAGATGACATACAAATGTATGCCTTTCGGATCAAGCATGGGAATTTGGCTAGAAGAGAACGAAGAGAGATTTGTGGCTATTGCACTGTGTAGAACCATCTGAAACTAAACTTATATGGGAAAAATGACAAGTTCGTTTGATAGAGCTCTCACCCCCCTTTCCCCACTCATGATATTCACCTTACGCTGCACCTCACTACCTTTGTGGGTACAGCATGTGATCTTATCCCATTCCTAGAGCTGGCAATCTCCTGGCACTGACATTTCCAAGCTGGAGTGAGGGTCAATGATCAACACCTTGATTTATGTGTTAACGTTTGCTGAATGTTGCCAGGATTACCTGCTGCATCCGTAGAGATTCCAGTTCCCTTTCAAGCCTGGTGCGTAGTCTGTGTTCCAGTTGTTCTCTTTTCTCACAAGCCGCCTGGAGCTGGGCCAAAGCCTGCTGCATCTTCTCTACTTTATCTACATAAACTTGCTTCTTCTTCAACTGCAAGGAAAAAGAAAGCATGTAACTTACATCTTTACCGCTACAACAACCTGACAGCCAAGGCCTAAACAGGGAATTGATTGGGGGTTTACTGTCCTTTGTAAAACAGTCACATACCCACATATATGGCCAACTGATAAACTCATTCTCTGGGGAAACATTATTACAATACTTTTGTACATGTACCATGCACTCATATCTTGTTTTGTATTTCTCCTGTTTCAACACCATTTACTGGTTAATAACTTAAGTCTTATAGTATTGATTTCCTAACAAGTCTCAATTATGTTATAAACTTCTCAGATAATATTCCAAGCACATGCCTCCATAGTTTAGGAGACCTGTTCATGCCTGTGTCTAAGGGAGGTAAGGCAGCGTAATACCAGTTTGGTTGCATTTTAAATTGCTGAGAGTCAATTTCCTTAACCCTTCTATACCTACTGGCAGCAGCAATGAAAAGGTCTCCTGTGTACGATTGATATTCTTATTCACAACAGGAGATATACAAAGAGAGGGAGGGTGAGTGAGGGTGAGAAAGCAAGGGAAGGGAGGAAGAGAGAGAGTGTGAGTATATGTCTGTCTGTCTGTCTATAGCCAATGAGGATTTGAAAAGTTTACCCAAGTCTATTGTTCTCACCAAAACACTAGACTTTAAGCACAGAGATCTGATGTATGTCTGGGCAGAACTTAAAGCAGAATTTCATCCAAAAGGGAACATTCTGCGTGTTTGCCTCCTCCCCCCTCCACTGTCACATTTGGCACTTTTTGGGGGGGAGAGCAGGTACCTGGTTTTGACAGGTACCCGCTGCCACTTCCAGTAAGATGCTCTATGGTGACCTGAGATGGAAGTTCAGTCCCCACTCCTTCCCTGCACTCTTCTGGGTCACTTCACAGATCCCAGTAGACCGAGGAACCATTCACAAAGCACATGCGCAGTAGGAAACCAGCTGTGAAACTGCAAGGCTTCTCTTCTGGTTTCCCTTACTGAAGGTACCTTGTTATAACATTTTGAAAATAAGTGATTTTTCTCTTTCACTGATGTGCGCTAATGAGGCTGCAGTGATGGGCACGGATAGGCTGCACTGATGGACACTGGTAGGTGGCACTGATGGGCATTGACAGACAGGCATCACTAATGGGCACTGAAAGGCAGCACTGATACATGGCACTGATAGGCAGCACTGAATGGCACTTAAAGGTGGCACTGACTGGCAGCACTGATAGGTGACACTGAAAGGCAGCTCAGATGGGCACTGATATGTGGCATTGATGGCACTGGTAGGCACTGATATGTGGCACTGATTGGGCACTGGCACGAGGCACTGATGAGCACTGACAGGTGGCACTGCTGGGGCTACACTGATCATCAGGGTCCCCTCCGCGGAAAGCCGATTACCCTCTCCTCTCCTCTAAAGCTGTCAGCGTGACAGCCTCGAGAGGAGAGAAATGCCGATAACCGGCACTTCCCTCTTACATGTGATCAGCTGTGATTGGACACAGCTGATCACATGACCAAGCCAACATCTTCGGCTCTTTCCGTGATGGTGATTCGCTGTGTCCCGCCCCGATCACTGCACTGCACGCTCCCTGAGCCGTGCATGCGCAGTGAGAATGGGAGGACGTCATATGACGTCCTCCCAGAACGAGAGAACCACCTTGCGCCCGTCTTATTACTATATGGCGGGCGGAAGGTGGTTAATGACTCGTTTATCACTGAAAACAATACAATCCCCAAACCACTATCAGCTGTACACACAAAACTGTACTTGAATAATGCTCACACATTTCTGGCATTTTTTTTTTTTAAATAATTCAAAAGGAAGATTGTCAGAAAGTACTGTATATGACCGTTTCCTTGATATGATCCTTTCAACCATGCAGGTATACTATAGAATTTTTTGCTAAACTCAATAAAAGTTACTGAAGTATACTGTAAAGTTATGCTTTGCAAACAGGAATCCCCTCCTATATGCACACTGACAGAGCTAACCCAAGAGCAGAACGTGTAAAACTGGCACTTGTACTGTATACTGATATGATATTTCTGCACCTTTTATGGTACAGTTCTAGTATGCAAAGAATCCAGTATATCCCAGGTCCTTGCCAAGATAAGTCTCTTTTAGACGGCACTTGACAGAACTATGAGAGGAATCCCCTGTGTTTATACTGGCTGCTCAGGATACCTCTTATGGTATAAGGCTGGCAAGCAATACCAGTCCATCAAAAAGTCATATCTGTCATCAAGCAGAGAAAAACAAAAGACATATTGAGCATACTGCAATGGCCCTCTCTAGGTAACCCTTAACCCTTGTATTTCTCACTTATTTTAAGGGAAGGCCAGTCAAAATCATGAATGAGTGTGTTACTTGGGTAAAATGACTACCTATTACCCAGAGTAGTACTCTAAGGGCTGATTCACACTATAAAAACCGCAATCCAGATGCATTTCTGCATGAGCGTTTTGGACGTGTTCCGTGCGTTCTTTATGGGTTTTGCAATATGTGTGAACTAAATATCCCTATTTATTGCAGAGTCTGCTTCAAAGGGTGTATATACCAGTGTGCAGAGGGCACTTCAGAATTTATTTATGGGTTTTTAATGCGTTCCTGTGAGTTTTTTTTCATACATTTCAGTTAATTTTTTCCCCCTCTTTCTTTCTTCAATTTAAATAGGGACATGTGTGTTCCAGTGGGTTTTTTATGCATTTTACTGCATTCCAGTACAGTTCTGTGCAGAAAAAATGCAGCATGTTCTACTTTTTTTCTGAAATCGGAACACACTGAAACGGCAAGCATTGATGATGTAAACTATGACATTGATGACCTACTTTCTGCATTTTTGAACTTTAGCAACTGAAACGCATGTAGTGTGGACTAGCCCTAAAGCCGGCCACAGACTGTTCGAATCCCGGCTGGTTCAGCAGGGACTGGCCAAGATTCGAACCATGTATGGGCCAGCTGAATATATCCAAGTTGATCGATTGATCAACTTGGGTCAAACCAGCCTGTCTGATTTTACATGCGCTTATTGCTATCATCTATTATAGCTGCTAGCAGTAATCACTTTTCTCCCGGGGGGGGAGGGGGGACATCAAAGTTGCATGAAAGTCACAGCCCATTCTTTTCAATGGCACCTGTTCAAACCAGTGTGACTCAAATGTGCCTGCACTACTTTGATGTGACTTTGATCCAGAGAGTGTAAAGTCGCATCAAAGTCGCAGTGAAAATCTTGTGACTGGAGTCACACAAGTGTGAATAGAGTTTTACAGTTTGAATATCCTGGCTCACCCAAATTGGAACAAAGAGTTAAAGCTGAACTCTGGGAGGAAAAACCCTTGCCCCTTCCCCCCCCTGCAGGGTTTAAATGCTTATATGCTCCCTCGGGCCACAGTTTGAAGACCACTAGTTTATTGGATTATGTATGCTTGCTATTGGTGACTAATGGGCCTACTTGTATTTTAAAACCTAATACAAGTTGTTTACGGTTTGTATCTTTTATATTTCTTTCTGAAAACTAATAAAAAAGGTACGTTAAACATAAACTGCTTTAGTGTATATCACCAATTATTATTATGGCAAAACACACTTTATCACAATGAAAGACATGTTTTATTATTGATTTTGGGGTCTATTACTTTTTGCAACACTCCAGGTCCACGGAAAGCTTCCTATGTTATGGTGTTCAGGAGAATGGCTCAATGAGCTCAACAGGATGGCTCAATAAAATACTTAAAGTGTTTTGCCTGGTTCTGATGCCATCAGTACCTTTAAACGAACTGATAAACATTTTAAAATACAGTCTTTATAAAAAGGTTGCGTTAATCACAATTCAAGCTTCTTTCTTCTGCATTACGTGATCATCAAATTAATTTAATTTAGTCAACATATTGCTTATTGTAGTATAAGTAGGATGGCTAAAAGGTATACACCAGAGTAAGCATGGTTTCAGTTTTCTGATCAGTAGCTTTCGTCTCAATATGGAATGTTCCAACAGGTTTGATGTTTTCCAGACCATAAAGCAAAGAAAATAAAAATGCTACATTTTCAACTCTTGAAAATTCCTATGTCCTAGACATTGCCCAGACTCCCAGTCGAGTAATTATGAACCTCTCCAACCCTCCCTTTCAAATCAGCCTCAACCTTGGTTGTTTCTAAATATCCAATGACTACTGAAGACGTTAATTCAAATTGAGATTGAGCTTCATTAGGAGACGGGAGCTGGGCGTATGAAAAGCATTGTACTGCTTCAAGTAACACAAAGTGGCAGAATTGTCCAGGAATGTGTAGGATGAGAAGAAGCAGGATTGTATAACTTGTGCTCTGGTAGCCAAATCAACACTTAACACAGAATGCCAGTCAAATAATTAAACATTCTCAGCTGTATTCAGCAAGTCTTGTGACTCACACACTAGGGTTTATTTACTAAAGCTGGAGAGGGCAAAATCAGCTTCTAACCTCCACTTGTTCAATTCGGCTTTGGCAATAAAACCTGGAAGCTCATTTGTTTCTATGCAGAAGTGAGCCTGATTTTGCACTTTCCACATTTAGTAAATAAACCCTACTATGCCACAATACAGTCTTAGAGGGGGACAAAAGTATTAGGAACTGCAACCCTGCCACTTCCCCTTTCACATCACAGTCTCCAGTCTACTTATTGGATGATGAAAGAACAACTACTAGTGAGGTTTTGTCTGTTCTTACCTCCACATTTAAATACATTTGAAATCTCTTAAAAAGACAGCACTATAATCCACACACATTTTGCAGGGGAAACCATTCTAAGCAATGATTAAAATGATGGACTGTGGAAGGACTGATAACAGCACTGAATCCACTATACTTGCGATTTCCATCCGCTGCCGACCAACCTGCTCAAGGCTGCCGTGGCATTGTCATCCACCCACCAGCCTCAGAAAGAGGAGAGTGGAACTTTTACCAAATTAAAAAGCATCACTGAACTGTTTAGGGCTGACACCACATTATTGAATCATCCTTGGCCCAAAGATCTATGTCTGGATGAATCACACTGAGTAAATGTCTACACAATTTTAAACAACAAAAACACATATACTACAGACTACAACATGCATTATTTACCAACGCAATTATCGCTGGTAAGATACAAGGACAACTTAAAATGAGGTATCCAAGTCTGTAGAAACAATAAAACGTACTTCTTCCTCTAGTTTCACCACCTTGGCCTGTGCATTGTTTAGAGCCTGGTCTCTAATCTCAATATGTCTTCTTTGATCCTCATTCATAGAACGGAAAGACGACATTTCCATTTCCAGCTTTTCCTTCTCTCTCTGGAGTTCCTTGTCTGCAAGAATGCACATAATAAATACATTGCTTTTCAAAAAGTAAATGAAACTTGTAGATATGAACATTTTACCTTAATCTTAAAAATGATTAATTTCGTTTTTTTATTTTACAGTATAAGAACATTTTTGTCCTATTTTAAAAGTGTGATATTTTTAAGAATTTACCAACACAGACATGAGTAAACTAGGTTCAACCAAGATGTAAAGGAGACTTGAATAGCTTTTTATATCTAGTCATATTGTAGATTATAAAGATGGCCATTAACGGATTACATTTTTGCCAGTTCAGCAGAGATCAGTTGAATTTTGACCCATGGGCAGAGAGGTTATACAGAAGTCGATCTACAGATGTTGTTGGATTTTCCCCGCTCGATCAGCACTGTAAAAGTCTCCCGGCTGTTAGAATAAAATAGCTCAGTGGGGAAGATTCCCCCATCCACATTGAGTGTGTGGAAGGGGAATCAAGTGTGGAGGAGGAATCAAGTCAGTTTTTCTTTTCGTTAGACCCTGGTTGAACGAAAAGAATTGACTAATCTATGGGCTGTCTAAGCAAAAGAGTTAAGTGATCAGATTGTAAAGACTGGGAATGTATCCATTTGAAAGACTGAAAACTTACATGCGGTTAGCATGGTTGAATTTGCCATTGATATTGATTAGCAAGATATTTTACGGCAGACCTTCCCAAACACATACAGTGGAAGAAAATAAGAGCTAGGGATCATACAACCATGCCCTGTACAATTCTACCTTTTGTCCAATGTACATATGTCAGACATGTCCTGATTATTTTATGTGAAAAAGAAAGTCTCTTGCCACAACCATTTTTTGTCATGCATGATCAGACTGCATAATCATTTTTATCATTTGCACCACACAAAAAGTATTATAACTCACCAATATCTTAACCATTTTTGGCCACCATTGGCCAAAAGATAATAATAGCTCGCAAAGTAAAAGAAGGATTTCTGCATTCATTTTTTATTCTATGCCAGTAAAGTTAATTTAGGCATGTTGATCATTAGGACTGAAAGACATATTGTAAATCATGCTAGGAGTTGGTATAAAATTCCCATCACAATCATGTGTAATATCCATATTTTGCAAGAGTGGGCACAGCAGAGTTTAAACGGCTGTCATTGTTCATTCAAGGTCTCTCCCCTAGTGCCAATCCTTTGACTCATACAGCTAAAATGTAATTATAAACATCATCAACATCCCTCTATATTCAACTATGTATAATAAACATCAGGGTGTGTGCTCGAGAAATGGGTGTAATTCTGTGATAACCCAGGGACATAAATTAACGACAGAGCGAGAGCTCCTAACTGGGCAGTAGTTGGGAGCAGTTTCACCACCTCTACTGTTCCCCAAATTTCAAAGAGGACATGAAAAAGCCATTTTTTTTAAACAAATGTAAAATTTCTTACACGGTGACTCACCTTATTCCAATAAAACTAATGAACCGGTCATCCAATGCCACCATGCAAAATGTAAATGTTCTGCCTAATAGCCAATAACAAGATGCATGCTATTACAATTTATCAGCCATGATCCCTCTTCAGTGGCCCACTTTGATTTAGTTTGTTACAAGGGGTGTGACTTCCCTGGGTTTTGAGCCAAGCCCCACTTTATTTGCTCTCTCCAGTCCTAAAGACTGATCATAATGGTCGCTGATGTGATCACAATTGCAATTGGGTAGGGATACACAAAGTTTGTCCACTAGTGACAAAACAAATCTAAAATCTGGGAGGTGTTTCTGGTTAATAAGAGGTAGTAGACATTAGGTATACAGTCAGTCATAGGCAGAAAGTTCTGACATTAAGCTAGAGATTGTGGCCAATTACTGACATAAACAGAACTTTACCCTTAACAACTCGATAAAAAAAATAATGGCCTTTAGCAAGGAACGTAACATGTTCCACTTTAATAATTATGCTACCCAAATTAGTGTGTGCTGTAAGTTACCTCCAGCATTGTTCCGGTTTCTTCTTGCTGGAGGCTGAAGCCCAGAGCCCCTGAGCAGCAGTAAATCTTTAGGCTCTCAGCAGATTAGCCTCTAGTGGCCCTTTTTTTTGGCACAGTGCTGAGAATAGAGAGCAACTGAGTATGTGCAGAGCAGGGTGAGATTATATATTACTGGATTTTAAACAGTATAGGCACTTTTTTGTAAATGTTTTACATAGCTATACCTGCAAAAAAGGGGCCAGCATGAAGTTAATTTTCCAAACCTAAAGTTCTACTTTAATATTCCAATCACAAAAGTTCGAAGGCAGCTGAACTATTTCATATGTAATCTTTCACATTCAGCAGTATAATTTGTAAGGAAGAGAATTAACTAATTTTAAACGTGAACAGTATTTTTACTGAAAAAATAATACTGTAGAAACCCCAGCTACAGCCAAGAAAAAGGAAAATCTAAAAGAGAAACAATAATGAAACAGGCTATAGTGCTGAATGCAATGAGCCATTATCCAAAGTAATTGATTATATGCATAGTTTGAAATGAGTGAGCATGTAATACGCAATTACCATACAACCTGGGAAAGAATTTATTAGTACACATCCCCTCCACTACAGGATGTGGACCAATAGTAAAGATAGAGTAAAGTAGACTATGGACAGCATACTGTCTAACAGCAGATAGCAATTATTGTTCAGACTAAAAAAGTTTTCACATGGCCTTGGCAATTAGCAACTTGAGGATACCACAAAAAAAAGTTTACAGCTTTTCTATACTTATATAAAGGACTGTCATGTGTGGGGACATTTCAAATGGAAATGGTATTTAGCAAAGATCAATAAAACTTCAAAAGGAAGTAAACTTTATGAACCCTAGCGTGTAGTTAATTAAAATATAACACAAAGGCAGTGATAGGGGCGAAGAATGAGGCACAGACTGAAGTAGGAAGCCAGAACAAGGATATATCATGTAATTAGAGCACATAGAGCACTACTGACAAGTGACAGGATCATTGACATTACAGACATCACTTTGTGAACTAGAAATGAACAGTATCTAAACAGAAGATCTAGCAACACTAGTCCCTGCAGCCATTAAACACCCAGTCACTGACAGACCAGTATAGCTACATTCCACATACTACAGCAGTGGGAGGATGGTGAATCAGGGCAAAGGATTACATGAGAACAAGGCCGTGCCACTTCTAAAGAGCTATGTGAGAAGCTTTCATCTGTACTTGTCCACCAAAAACGTGACACTGAGAAACTAATTGCTGCAATTTCACTGACAGCCAACAGGTAGTTGTGGGAAACCTTTGTTAAAAACACTGCACTTGTCAGCAGTAGATGTATGAGAACAAAGATACAAAAAGCCAATAAGGGTGCTGATAAACAAATGTAGACAAAGTCTTCCCAAAACATTGCTGTGTTCACCAGATTCATGTCCAGGGCTGTTGTGATTCTTGAAGGCATATAAAAAGGTAAGGTACATGGGTAGGGACTAATGTGGATATTGAAGGACCCTTTTCACACTAATGAACTTTTGATGCAGCTTAGAAGCACTTTCACACTGATCCGCTTTTGATGCGTTTTTGATGTGTCCCCACTGACCTAAAATGAAAGTTGCCTTTCTGATGTGCTTCTGAAAAATTGCACCAAAAGATGCAGCATGCAGGACTTTTCGTAGTATAGTGCATCTGCAGTGTGAACAGTTACAAAGGATTTAATGGGGAATAGTTTTCATGTGCTTTTGTAACCCTGGAAAAGAATGGCAAAAGTGCATCCGTTTGAAAAGGGCCGAAATGTACTATACAAAAAAAAAAAAGAAAAAAAGCGATATTCCTAGATTGTAAGCTCCAAGGAGCAGGGCCCTCCTAACCCTCTTGTATTGAACTGTATTGTTGCTGTATTGTCTCCCGTTATATTGTAAAGTGCTGAGCAAAATGTTGGCGCTATATAAATCCTATAAAATAGTAATATTACTATATTGATAAGGGTGAAGTTCCAATGACACACAATATTTCAAAACTCAGTATAAAACCACAAAATCGACCATATTAGCTTCGAAAATGCATGAGGGCTGTAGCATCTACTATGCATTTCATAAAACATTTATAGCAGTACAGCTGGATGTATGCAATCTGCTATTAAAGTTAGTATGGCCATTTGTGCGCTGCAAGGGCCCACCTGACTGGGTAGAGTTGAAATGTAGGCTCTTGTACAACCCACTGGTTCGTATAATCTACTCATAGTGAATCTGTTCTTTACACATACTGGAGAAAAACAGCATTTAGTGTATTTAAACTAAAAAGGCCATAATAATTTGTATTTTTTTTTTATTATTTTAGCATTACAAATGGTCAGGTTCTTCTTACGTCTGTACCTTGCAAGTTGATAATTTTTAATTTTGTTTCTCCCACTTCATTCCTTTTCTCCTTTGCCAGTACAGGACTGTTATGCTCATATCCCAGGCACCAAATCTAGATCTCTACATCTGCTCTACAGCATTATACAAGTTACCACTTCTGAACCGCAACAATTGCGATGGGTCAATCATTATTGAAGAATAACTGTTACTGTACCAGGTGCTCTGCTACTATATCTATAGCCTTTTACAGATCAAAGTAATAAGCGAATGGTCAGAGGTGTGTGTGTGTGTGTGTGTGTGTGTGTGTGTGTGTGTGTGTGTGTGTGTGTGTGTGTGTGTGTGTGTGTGTGTGTGTGTGTGTGTGTGTGTGTGTGTGTGTGTGTGTGTGTGTGTGTGTGTGTGTGTGTGTGTGTGTGTGTGTGTGTGTGTGTGTGTGTGTGTGTGTGTGTGTGTGTGTGTGTGTGTGTGTGTGTGTGTGTACACGCGCACACCAACCTGTCAGGAATCTGGCAGAGATACCAACCACCCATTGGCCAGGTGTGGCAAAAGTCCTGAAGGGGTGATGTTAAATAAGAGCTTATTTCCGCTACGATGCCGCAAAGAAATCTTTACATTGTTTTTTCATTACACAATACAGATGGCAATTAAAGTTAAATATTTTAAATTACTTTC